TGTAATCTCACACTCACAGCTACCGCAGCCTCTGCCTGCTGGGCTCAGTTGTTCCTTCCACCTCAGCCTTCCTTCCAAGTAGTTGCAACTACAGACATGTGTCACCACACCCGGCTGATTTTTTGATTTATTGTAGAGACAAGATCTCACCAAGTTGCCCAGGTTGGTCTCAAACCCCTGAGCTCAGGCAATCCTCTCACTTCTGCCTCCCAAAGTACTAGCATTACAGGTGTGTGCCACCACACTTGCCTCTTTTTTTTTCTTTTGAGTTGGAGTCTCACTTTGTCACCCAGGTTGGAGTGCAGTAGCACACTCACAGACACCACAACCTTGACCTGCTGGGCTCAGGGGATCCTTCTGCCTCAGCCTTCTGAGTAGCTGGGACTATAGGTACACACCACCATGCCTGGATTTTTTTTTTTTTTTTGGTTGAGACGAGGTCTCAGTATGTTGCCGAGGCTGATCTTGAACACTTGGGCTCAAGCAATGCTCCTGCCTTGGTCTCCTAAAGTGCTGGAATTACAGAAATGAGCCACTGTGCCTGGCCTTTTTTTTAAAGCAACCTTTGAGTAGTACTATTTTTATTTTATTTTGTTTTGTTTGTTTGTTTGCTTGGGCTTTTTGAGTTGGAGTCTCATTCTGTCACCCAGACTGGAGTGCAGAGGCCGCTCCCGGCCACTGCAGCCTCGACCTGCTGCTGGGCTCCGGCGATCCTTCCGCCTCAGCCTTCCGAGTAGCTGGAACTACAGGCACACTACCACGCCCGGATAATTTCTTGAATTATTGTAGAGATGAGGTCTCGCCAAGTTGCCCAGGCAGGTCTCGAGTGAATCGTCTGCAGAATCACCAGCTTCACGCCTAGAAATCGCTACTTCCTTCTGACCTGACCTGTAATTCCAGCAGTTTGGGAGACTGAGGCAGAAAGATTGCTTGAACCCAGGAGTTCTAGCCAGTCTGACCTATTGTGAAATTTTATTTTATTTTGTAGAGTTGGGGTCTCCCTATATTGCCCAACCTAGCCTTGAACTCCCAGTTTCAGGCAATCCTCCCGCCTCAGCCTCCCAAAGTGCTGGGATTATGGGTTTGGGTCACCATGCCTGGCCCACACTGGATAATTCTAGGGCCAGCTCGTGAGCAAGCATGCTGTCATGCACACAAGAGCCATGTGCCCATCCTGTGACATTGAGACACCTGTGATTGTGTGTTTAGTCAACGAGGGACTGGGAGACGGCCATGCTGAAACTGCTTTCTCAACTATGCCTGGCATAATGTCTGAACGCGTTCATAGTCATCCCCTAAAAATGCTCCAGCATGCTTTTGGTGTTTTATAGGCTGGCAGAGGCAACATTGCCTTCTGAAGCCAAGTCACTGCTCTCCCATACACCCCTTTCAGATGGGCACATCTGCTGTCCTGTTTTGGAGAGGCCTCAGTCCACTACGAAATCACTCGGGCAGCTCTCCCAGCCCGAAGGACTCTCACTCAGCAGCAAGTCACTCTTGGCACAGGGGTCCACGTGTCTAACCAGAGGTGACTCAAACCAGAACGTCTGCAGAATCACCAATTTCATTCCTAGGAGTCGCTACTTCCTTCTGACCCGACCTGTAATTCCAGCAGATTGGGAGGCTGAGGCAGAAGGATTTCTTGAACCAAGGAGTTCTAGCCAGTCTGACCTATTGTGAAATTCTTTGAGTTTCCATGGAGGTACATGGGTCTGGCATCCCTCAAGAAAGAAGCTGGAGCCGAGCTCGGTGGCTCAGCCTGTAATCCCGCGCCTTGGGAGGCTGAGGTGAGTGGAT